CAAGTGAGCACTTGCTTCAAGCCTTTCTGCAGTTCATCTGTTCTCATCCACGGAACCCCTTCGTGGTTCCATTATTTCGAATTTATTTTACTTCTGAAGTTGACCCCGTGTACCTTGTAGCATGTTTGAAATACGAAAATACGTGCGCGACACCTGCGCTGTGTTTTATCTGCGCGCGTGACTGCCTGCGGCGAGCCTATAGTTCGAGGCACCCAGTTTTCAGCAGGCTTCACCTAGGCTGCCTAAATTCTCACCTAGTGCCGCAGCCCATGCACCCCGGTGCGCCAGCGGCCCAAAGCTGTGATCATCGCAATCGAGGCAAACGAGACTGGTCCGCCGTGAGCCATGTCATCTCGTGCCTCAGCTCCGCCTCTTGGAGGCTATGATCACATCACCAACATGCCAGTTGATCAGCTTGGGAAACGTCGTCAGACATGGTTACAGCGGGCGGTCTCGAAAGCGTGCTGCTCGAAAGCAGTGTCACAGAGGAGACAGCACAGCAGGTGAGGCGAGCGGGTGGGGGGTCCGCAGCTAGCCTATACCCCGCTCGACTCGTAGGACCCCAGCCGTCAGGAAAAAAAAAGGAACATATAGAACTGGAGTCTCCCCAAAAGAGAGTCGTTGTTGTTGTTGTCTCTTGTACATCGAGCGGCAGATGAGCTATGCTGTGATGCATGTGTATGATGCAGATACCAGAACGCACACCGACACCACACCGAACAAACGCCCAAAAGGGGTTGCTCTCGCCCTTGCTCATAGAGCGCATCACCCGCCTCTTGATGTTTCTACAGCAGCAGTAGAAGTCATCATGCCCACCTACCTCCTTCATCCTCTTGGTATTCACGAAGAAGACATACACTCGGACTGATGGTCTCGGACTGATGGTGTCGGAGCCAAAGACGGAGATCATGTGCATGCTGCCGAAAGGGATCGAGGAATGCCCGTTCACGGTCAGCGCCGCCGGCCAGACGTACAAGCAGACAGATCGGTTTGTGTGCCTCGGACGTACCATCTCCGCGGACGGGAAGGCCGACCGGGAGATCACGAGCGGCAGCTGCCGAGCGTGGAAGT